TCATTTCAGAGCTCTAAAGGAACTAAAACATAACACTGCTTAAGTACTGATGTATCACTTCAAGTGGCAGCAGATGGATGGTAGGTGGCAAACAGGACCCAAATCTGAAAACAGGGTTGCGGAACTACAGGCAACTGCAGCCTTCTAGTTTTTACCAAACAGGGAATTCTACTGCCAGTCTGTGAAGATACTTAAGTTCAGTGGCATTCACACAGAACTGATCAAGCTGATACAGTATGCCTGGAGTTTCAAACAGCATTAGAAATCAAGCTTCCAAGACATAAAAGGAAAAATCCTCCCATTAATTAGTGTCAACTTAAGTGAAAGGAAGCAGAGATAAAATTCTCACAGTGGTGAGATAAGATCCCCTAGGCATCTATACCGGAACTTACATTTCTGATTTGAATAAATAGGCCAATACCTTTCTCCAAGTGACCAACTTCATCCTTCTACTATTCAAGATTTCTAAGTGATTAATTATATTTTTTATATATATGGAATTTAAATATTCTCTATGAAAGGAGATCTCTACAAGCGAGGGAGAGCCAGCTATAATAGCTACAGCTCAATTCTGGCGAATGTCTTAGCATTATATGAAGTCAGCAATGTTTTGTGGTCATCTTGGCAAAGGCAGCTCTAGATCAATAGCACCTGCATCATTATTTCATGGCTGCTCCTCATTAAGAAGACAGCACTACCATCACTGATGGATGGTTGTTTTAAGCAGGCAATGATTAGCTCTGAAGTCAGACAGGAGGCCAAGATCAAGTGAGGTTCAATAGCAGCACTGTAACCCCTGTTTTAAACGCAGATATAAGCTAGTCTCTTTTTTATTTTTTTTCTTTTTTTGCTTTTTTATTTCTAATTAACAGTTGTGTTCCTTAAAAACAGGAGATACTGCCAAAGGAAAAAAAAAAAAGTATCTGTCACATTGCTGCTTAAAGTCAGGAAGAGAAATGGCAATATGAACACCATTATCAACTTTATCTTTTTCCAGTGAAGTTAACTATCATTAGTCCTAGAAAAGAGAAGCCTATATTACGCAGGAAGAACAGCTGCTGAATAAAAAATATTTTCACTCTGGGAAAAAAACGAAGCAAAACAAAAACACAACCTCATCCCATCCAAAAAATGGAAAAGATTCTAAGGAATCAGGAACTTACTAGGTGGATCTGAAACTCATGCTCCTAATTCACTTCAGAGCATTTTGTATTCAATTTTTGCTACTCATACAATCAACAATTATTAAAAGCTCCTTCTATTCTGCCTATGCAACATACTATTCCCTGATTGTGGAACCAACCTTCAGCCCTTAATACATAACTTTAGCAGGACCTTTAAGAATCAGCTATCAGTAAACCAGAAGAGCCAGCCAGATCAGTCTTTAAGATTGTATATTCTCCACAAGCAGCTCCATAAGCTTATAATGATTCTCAGCACCAGTATCACTATTAATTCCAACAGTGAAGATTCCACTGCTCAAAAATAGTATTTGTCATCTCCATGAATTCCAAGAAAGAGGATTCAGTGTTGTCCTTGTCCAAAAGTTAACAAATTATCTCCTTATACAACTATGTTTGGAAGTGTCCTTAATGTAAGCAAGAGTAAAAGAAATATCTGGGTCTGCAGAACAGGGGATTTTGCCACGTGCAATATTCCTGAGCCCCACTATACTGGAATATGACATGAGACTAGTAAGTATCACAAAGCATTTGTAAAACAAATCTCTCCCTTACTAGGAGAGTAGAAAATCAAGAAACGTCACATACTAAGTTGCCCAGAAGATAAATCACTTCTACTAATGAATTCAAGTTTAATTTGAACAACAACAAAAAAAAAAAACAAACAAGAAAATTTGCAAATGAATCTGTCCTATTCCTGCGGTTTAAACTCACCATACAACAGGCTCTTCCAGATTCTTTCTTACAAATAAACAAACAAAAAAAACACTAGCACTGCTTTACAGGAACCAGGCTTATTCTTAATAATCCCTTATTATTGACTCATGGGGAAATAGCAAGGAAGAATTCATGTGTCATATTACTATGAAATCAAGTTTTCTGTTATTTGTAGCTGTTTTACAAATTCAGTTTGGTATTTCACTGGAATTACTTCTAGGGGTTTAAAGAGCAATAATAAAATAATTTTTAAAAAAGTCGTGTGTATGACACTGTTCTAGCATTTTTAGTCATTTCATATTAATTCTAATAATGCCAAAATTTTAGGAAGTTTAATATAATGCATCTCATAGCTCTATTTGCAAGTAAGCAGCCCACAGTCACCAAGAGGCAAAGTATTCAACTGTTATTTTTTAAAATTAGTCACATTGGTGCCTTTATCTAAATGAACTATTATGTGAGCAGGATGTTTTACAAACTACTCAGTGTGACAGCACATTCTTTAATCATGATTAGTTAGACTTACAAATTATTATGGAACATACAGTATGTTGCAGCTTTGGATCATTACCCATGGAAATGTAATTCAGAAGTACAAACAATAATTATTTCTGTCACTGCTTTTACTGAAACAAAGCTTTCTTTAATTAGGATATTGATAAACTAATATAATATTTTTAAATAGTTAATCTGATAAAGAATAAAATGAGCTTTTAACTGAGAAAGCTTAGTTCTCCAAACAGCCAGCACGCAGGTTGTTCTGCCTCCTTGGGAACACCCACTAATGTAATGGACTAAAGGATGATTAGATATGCACTTTGTATGGTGGCAGCCAGCTTCTGGGAATTTCAGTCCTTTCTACACCTTCCAGCAGCACCAGTGAAGGACAGACCCAGGCAACACCAGAAACCTCACACTGCTGCTCTGTCCCCAGAATGGCCTCATCCCACTCCTCCCACAGGCAGCAGCTGGCTATTCAGTGTCCTGGATTTAGGAGTGATATTGGGAAGTTTTCCTAAAACGATGAAGGCAGAGTATGCTGGGTTGCACTCTCTAAACCACCAAAGCACCTGTTTCTTTAGAGAAATGATTCTGTCTTGGACATCAGATGTCTATCAAAGAGTATGAAAACTGGTGGCCAGCATGGACAGTTTCTTTCTCACCCTGGAAGAGGTCAAGATCCTCCTTAATCATACACATCATCTTAGTGTTTAGGGGCCCATTTTACCCTCATTAATGAGTTAATTAATTTTTAGTATGGCCATCAGCACCTGGTATCCCTAATATTCCTCTGTGAAGAGTTTCACTTATGCACTATGTGGAACAACTTTTGTTTCAAGTGTTTTCTCATTTTGTTTTTACAACAGTTTTATTTGAATACTGGTGTTGCTACCAAGCTAATCAAGAGATGGTGGTAAAACTGCCTCTTCAAAGATGGAGTGGTTGAGAAGCAATTATTAGGTGTTATTTAGGAGAAACTATATATATGCACTGGTTGAAAGTCAGCCTGTACATTAACAGACACAAGATATAAGCCACCAACATGTATGTGAAATCAACAACACTGATGAAAAATGGTTCAGGCATTTATTGACAGACAATTGCTGCTTGATATAAAGGTTCACGTGCAGCTCTCTACCAGGTCATTGTCTGTCAAGAAGCACGCTCTACTTCTGTTGGAACCAGTTTATTAAAATGTAACTCTGTTATACTGGAAAAGTTAATTCCTGTTTGCGAGAAATAGATACCCAGTGAAAGATGCAGCTATTATATTGCAGAAGGAAGAGTTTTCAATTCTGTTCATCTTTAATTGTGAGTTACTGTAGGAGGACAAGTGATTTCCTTCAAGAATCTGAGATGAAATATTAAGTAAAACAGCTTTTAGTAAAGATGAGGAAGCCAGCTATCAAGCACCTCTCATTTTTTTCATTACTGCTAAGTGTGAATTTGAAATGGGTCTAAGAGCACCTTTTTTTCCCCCTGAAAATTATAAATCAGTTAAAATATAAAAAGCTGTATCTTTTAAAACATTAGTGCCTTTTCAATACCACCTACAATTAGGACAAGACCATGGGAAATAAATAGGTAAACCTAATTAAGACGCAAAGTGTCAGAGAAACACTGTCTCCTTGTAGCTGCTTTGTCAGGTGCATGACCCAATCACACCTGCTAAGACAGCTTTAACATAATTATAAATTTTAACAAAGACTAAATTAACTTCTATGGTGTACGTGATAAAGTGACAGGCTTAAACCAGTTTTATCCAGTATTTCTGAAATTTACGTACAAAAAATGATGTATCTTTAAGGTTTTTAAAGTTCCCACCAGTAATTGCTTTGGATTTAAAGAAATCCAATGATAAATTCAAATTACAGTTAAAGATTATTAACTTCTGTTAATCCCACAATAAAATACTACTATAATCCAGAAGCAGTAACAAAAATTTAAACCAGTAAGATTGAAGACTTTTCAAATGTCAAGCTAAAAATTTAAAATATGCCAGTGCCTTTTACTTAGTATAGCCTTGTCTAAAGATATTACAGAAATAATTGCATTAATCAAAGCTTTTATATGAAATTGCTTCTTCATTCTGTCCAGAAACCACGACAGGCAAGAGAGATTAATGGGATATTAATGCTTTAAAGACATTCACATGCATGGGTTTGCCAGTTATCCTTTCACGCTTAACATGTCTTCTTCACGTGAGTTGAAGCTTCAACTTCAGGAAGATCAAGAGAAACAGAGTTCAGAGGAGTTAAGAATATCCTCCAAATCAATTTGTGAAGCAGGTACCCAATGCACCAGAGCTACCACTATTATGGCACAGGAACTTCCTAAATACATACTCATGAACAAAGCCAAATAAGAATGTACTGGGTATGGCCTCTATTCAGAAATAAAAATAAAAATAATTTAACACTTTCAGACTTGTACAAAGCAACAGTAGCAGAAACAAGAACATCTATTGGACATGCTTCTGCTGTACAAGCAATTTTCAAAGTTCTAAATGACTTTAATTCTGATGAATAAAATTAATTAACTAAAAGTTACCTATTTACCTATATGATGATATTTCAGATAAGCCACATGGAAATATCTTACCTCTTCTCCTGAAAGATAGTAAGCTGAAAGTAATCCACCAACAAAACGGATGTTCACCTCAAATACCGAAATTTCAGCATTCTGTTGAAATAAACAAACATAGTTTTATTCCCTGACACTTTTCTGTACTGTTTCGGTTTTTTGTTCTAGTTCTTTTTCTTTTGGCCATACATGCAGGTACTAAGCTACAACATAAGTAAATGGCAAAACACAGAAAATGTAGGGAA